CACGTGCCGCGAACATACAGAAAACCGAAGGATGATCAATACCGGTCGTGACGGTGCATTTGACCCTAAACGGGAGCGTGCTGGACCAAGCAGTGACGCCTTTCAAAGCAACACGAAAGTCAAGGAGAAGCGGAGCCGTTTCGACTTCCCGTAGCAACGCTTCTAAAGGCATGTGGCATTCATTACACTGTGGTACAAGCTTCAAGAGGAAGCAGCTTTGCACACCTTTACTATGCATGTCGAACTCAAAAATCGTTCTGCCAGCGAATTGGAGCCCACAACTTCTTTGAGTTGCTGTGCATCCCAGGCCGACTACCCTCTCTGCGAGGGACTTCCGCGCAATGGCATCCGTGTCGCTGGGCTGTGCTTGAGCATGGTGTTGAGCTTCCGAAGGCTGTAGTAGCACTTGGTAATGGTGGAAGTTGAAACAACCAGCCTTGCATGCTCTGGCTCCCAAGACGTGCCAAGGTCATTGACACGGCACACGTCATCAGCACCAATTGCACCTGGCATGGACATCCAGGGCTGCAGGCAAGGAAATTGCAAGCGACCGAGTCGCAGCCCCCAGCTCAACCACCATTCCTCGAATCAAGACGGCCGAAGCTGCAAAAGCCTCAATCTCTCAAACTTGCCACGCCTCTACCTCCAGCCTCGCTTGCATCCCGAGGACCCCAATGCCTCCTCCTCCTCCTTTATCCCTCTGGGTTTGCCCGCGAGGTGACCCTCAAGGAGACACTGACCTTCCAAGGCACCCGTGACTTTCTACGGCCGGGTACTGGAATCCAGTCGTTGACGTGTTTTGGGCGCTTCGAAACCAGCAGGGCAGAATTCCGATCTGACGCGTTGAGAACTGAGACAGTGACTGGATGGGACAGGCACTTTGGTGTTGAAGGGTGAGATACAGATCATGGGGGAGCAGGAGCTGGACGGACCCTGCATCTCGGGCAGCAGGAAGAGTCGTCCAAGCCCTGCCCAAGAGGAACGGGGCGTCCGTTCGGGTTTACGGCCCTGATGAAGGTATCAATGTGAGCGGGAAGATGACGGTGATTGCCGCGAACGCCAGCTTCGTTGGCTGCAGAAACAGAATGAAGGCTGGGTGGCATCCAAAAAAATCCTGAACGCGTAAAGCCCTATTTAATCCCACGAGGCCTAAACCTCAAACCCGGTAACCTCTAGCAGGCCCCTCAAACCCCACACCCCAAACCCCTGAACACCCAAAGACCCTAAACCCCAGTGCGAGCCCTGGCTCTTGACCGTGGCATTGCCAGTATCCTCCGATACATCACCAAGCGGCTTCAAAATAATTGAGCAACTTCGACTGGCAAATAGCAAAGCCCAGAGTTGCTTTGCCCGATTGTGTGCATCACCTTTTCCGGCCAGATATTCCGCAGAAGACCTACGATAAATCGGGCACGTTTTGTCATGCATACAACAGCATGGCATGCGTGCTGCCATCACCAACATCTTCGCAATGTTTACAAGCAACATCAGCACGATATGGCAACAATTACCAGGCAGCCCCTCTCCAGTCTTTGTTTCTGTGGTACATGTTGAATCAGGCATCCAATTTAGTCTGCTGAGTTGCGGATTCCCACTCTGTGCTTTGGCAGAACTCGTTTCTCAGGGGGACGACCCTGTGGCAGAACGACGTGATAAAGCCTGACGTCAATCGCACTCGAACAGACTTGCTCCTAGAACGAAGCATTGTCGTTACTGTGATCTTCCGCTTCCTTCTCTGTTCCCAGACAAGTTAGCAGGAGTTCTAACCTCGGAGGGCCCTGCCTTTTGAACGCAACTGTGGGAGCTGCTTGAAGGAGTTGACCTGTCCGTTGTGTCACGCAGGGTTCTCAACGACTGCCAGGTTTGGGTTTCAGGTTTTCAGGCTCGGAACGGCCAGGATGGAAAAGGCGGAGCTCTGTTCATCCAGCGAGACTTGATCGTCAGCAACAGCAGCGTCAAGTTCGAGAACTGCAGAGCATCAGCAGGCCGGTCCTGTCCACAATGAACATCACAAACCAAGCCGGGGGTCTCCAGTTCAGCTGCTTAGAGACTTCAGCTTGGTTTGTGCGTAATGTGTCGTAAGTCGTGAGCATCCCGCTGTGTCTCTTCTGCTTGGTCTAATGTTTCGTCGTTGTGTCGTAAGTCATGAGCATCCCGGCCATGACCCTGCGCCCATGTGTCTTTGAAGGGGTCGCAGAGGCCCTTGAGAGACCTGAGCGGCAGAGGCAATAAGCCTTCAGGTCGTTTCTGATTTCGATTGGAATCCCTACTCTTCAGCATTTGCCTTCCAAGCCTGGGCTTCCTGGTCTAGGCGGCGGCCTCTACACCGGCAGCTTCTTGCAAGAAGCAGAAAGCACGGTGACCTTCGAGAACTGCGGCTCTGGAGCTTCGGTTGCATCCCGCAGATCCCTCTGAGCGACGAACGTGTGGGAGAGTTGAAGGCCTCGTTATTCCGCGCAGCGGGCACTGCAGGGCAGAGCTTCGAATTTTTGGGGGGGATGTCAGGCAGGTAAGACATAGGAAGACCATGCGCCTCCCAGTTGAAGGGTCTAGTCATAGTCTATCTATGGTTTCAGGGGAGTGGCCACAAAGCGTTTTGGGCGTTTTTCGCAGAGAGCCCGTGAACTCAACGGCACGGGTCTGAGCCCATGCTGTCTCCCAGGTTTCGGCAACGCCGGCGGAGGTGCACACGTGCGGAATGACTTCACGCAGGGACCGAAGAGCTCCGCCATCTTCCGCAGCTGCAGTGCGAATGGAGCCTGGGCTGCAGTGTTCTCGTGACTGTCGCCAGTGGGAGTGCGCTGGGAGCCCCCCTCTATACTTGAGCCATGCAAGCCCCACTTGCTCAGCGGGACAGACCCTGCAATCAAACGGGGGTGTAACACAATGCAGGGTCTGGGATTGAGGGTGTGGGGCTTGCGGGCTCCTCAGCGTTCTGGTTTTCAAGGCGTTTTTGGGGTTGGGCTGCGGCCGGTGCAGGGACATGTTGGAGCCTCTGTGTGCATTTTTTGGAGTCTGCCGGGTGCCCCAAGGATTCGGAGGCGGCCTCTACACTGGCAGCTTCTTGCAAGAAGCAGAAAGCATGGTGACCTTCGAGAACTGCACCGGAGCTTCGGTTGCATGCGGGAGCCCTTTGCGCAACGACGTGTGGGGGAGTTGGAAGGCCTCGTTATTCCGCGCAGCGGGCACTGCAGGGCAGAGCTTCGAATTTGGGGGGGATGTCAGGCAGTTAAGACATAGTAAGACCATGCGCCTCCGAGTTGAAAGGTCTAGTCTAAAGTGTTTTGGCGCGTTTTTCGCAGAGAGCCCGTGAACTCAACGGCACGGGTCTGAGCCCGTGCTGTCTCCCAGGTTTGAGCGGCGGAGGTGCAAGCGTGAAGGAAAACTTCACACAGGGACACAAGAGCTCCGCCATCTTCCGCAGCTGCAGTGCGAGGTACAATGGAGCCTGGGCTGCAGTGTTCTCGTGACTGTCGCCAGTGGGAGTGCGCTGGGAGCCCCCTCTATACTTGAGCCATGCAAGCCCCACTTGCTCAGCGCGACAGACCCTGCAATCAAACGCGTGTAGCACAATTCAGTGTCTGGGATTGAGGGTGTGGGGCTTGCGGGCTCCTCAGCGTTCTGGTTTTCAATGCGATTTTGGGGTTGGGCTGCGGCCGTTGCAGGAACATTGACATGTTTGGAGCCTCTGCCTGCATCTTTTGGAGTCTGCTGGGTGGCCCAACGAGGTTGCCTCGATGCTGACGGCAGCTTCTCCCAAGCAGAAGAAAGCACGGTGACCTTCGAGAACTGCACCGGAGCTTCGGTTGCATCCGGGAGCCCTTTGGATGCGTGGGGAGTTGAAGGCCTCGTTATTCCGCGCAACAGGTTCATCGGGGCAGAGCTTCGAATTTGGGGGCATGTCAGGCAGGTAAGAGGTAAGAAATAGTAAGACCATGCGCCTCCGAGTTGAAAGGTCTAGTCTAAAAGTGTTTTGGCGCGGTTTTCGCAGAGAGCCCGTGAACTCAGCGTGACGGGTCTGAGCCCGTGCTGTCTCCCAGGTTTGAGCGGCGGAGGTGCACGCGTGAAGGAAAACTTCACACAGGGACGCAAGAGCTCCGCCATCTTCCGCAATGGAGCCTGAGCAGCAGTGTTCTTGTGACTGTGGCTAGTGGGAGTGTGCTGGGAGCCCCCTTCTATGCTTGGGCCATGCAAGCCCCAATTGCTCAGTGGGACAGACCCTGCAATCAAACGCGTGTAACACAATTCAGGGTCTGGGATTGAGGGTGTGGAGCTTGCGGGCTCCTCAGCGTTCTGGTTTTCAAACAGATCTTGGGGTTGGGCTGCGGCCGTTGCAGGAACATGTTGGAGCCTCTGCCTGCATTTTTTGGAGTCTGCCGGGTGCCCCCAGGAGGTGGCCTCTACACTGACGGCAGCTTCTCCCAAGAAGCAGAAAGCATGGTGACCTTCGAGAACTGCACCGGAGCTTCGGTTGCATCCGGGAGCCCTCTGGGCAACGATGTGTGGGGCAGTTGGAGGCCTCGTTATTCCGCGCAACGGGCACTGCAGGGCAGAGCTTCGAATTTTGGGGGGGATGTCAGGCAGGTAAGACACAGCAAGACCATGCGGTTTGGAGTTGAAGGGTCTAGTCTAAAGTTTCAGTGGGTGGCCGCTAAGTGTGCTTTTGGCGTTTTTCGCAGAGAGCCCGTGAACTCAACGCCACGGGTCTGAGCCCGTGCCGTCTCCCAGGTCACGAAGGTGGAGGTGCACGCGTGAAAACCTTCACACAGGGACCGCAAAGCTCCGCCATCTTCCGTAGCTGCACGACTTATGGAGCCTGGGCTGCAGTGTTCTTGTGACTGTCGCCGGTGGGAGGGTGCTAGGAGCCTCCCTCTATACTTGGGCCGTGCATGCAACACAATTCAGGGTCTGGGATTGAGGGTGGCTTGCGGGCTTTCAATAGATCTTGGGGTCTGGCTGCGGCCGTTGCAGGAACATGTTGGAGCCTCTAACCGCATTTTTTGGAGTCTGCCGGGTGCCCGAAGGAGACGGAGGCGGCCTCTACGCTGGCGGCAGCTTCTCCCAAGCAGAAGAAAGCACGGTGACCTTCGAGAACTGCACCGGAGCTTCGGTTGCATCCGGGCAGTTGAAGGCCTCGTTATTCCGCGCAGCGGGCACTGCAGGGCAGAGCTTCGAATTTGGGGGGATGTCAGGCAGGTAAGACATAGTAAGACCATGCGCCTCCGAGTTGAAGGGTCTAGTCTGCGGTTTCAGGCGGTGGCCACAAAGTGTTTTTGGGGCGTTTTTCGCAGAGAGCCCGTGCACTTCATGCCACGGGTCTGAGCCCGTGCTGTCTCCCAGGTTCCGGCGGCGGAGGTGCACGCGTGAAGAAAAACTTCACGCAGGCACCCAAGAGTGCCGCCATCTTCCGCAGCTGCAGTGCGAGGAACAGTGGAGCCTGGGCAGCAGTGTTCTTAGGACTGTCGATGACTGTGGCTAGTGGGAGCCCCCCTCTATACTTGGGCCATGCAACCCTCGCTTGCTCAGCGGGACAGACCCTGCAATCAAACGTGTGTAGCACAATTCAGGGTCTGGGATTGAGGG